GTTGTTTGATACACTCCATCTGCTCTGTTTCTGACTAAGTATTGTTTGACACGCTCCATCTGTTCTGTTTTTGAACAAGTGTTGTTTGATACACTCCATCTGTTCTGTTTTTGAACAAGTGTTGTTTGATACACTCCATCTGTTCTGTTTTTGAACAAGTGTTGTTTGATACACTCCATCTGTTCTGTTTCTGACCAAGTGTTGTTTGACACGCTCCATCTGTTCTGTTTTTGAACAAGTGTTGTTTGATACACTCCATCTGCTCTGTTTCTGACCAAGTGTTGTTTGACACGCTCCATCTGTTCTGTTTTTGAACAAGTGTTGTTTGATACACTCCATCTGCTCTGTTTCTGACCAATTGTTGTTTGACGCGTTCCATCTGTTTTGTTTCTGAACAAGTGTTGAATATGTTCCATCTGTTCCGTTTCTGAACAAGTGTTGTTTGACATGCCCCTTCTGTTTCTGACCAAGCGTTATTTGACACGCTCCATCCGTTCTGTTTTTGAACAAGTGTTGTTTGATACACTCCATCTGCTCTGTTTCTGACCAATTGTTGTTTGACGCATTCCATCTGTTCCGTTTCTGAACAAGTGTTGTTTGATACGCTCCATTTGTTCTATTTCTGACCAAATGTTGTTTGACATGCTCCATCTGTTTTGTTTCTGACCAAGTGTTGTTTTATACACTCCATCTGTTCCGTTTCTGAACAAGTGTTGTTTGACATGCCCCTTCTGTTTCTGACCAAGCGTTATTTGACACGCTCCATCCGTTCTGTTTTTGAACAAGTGTTGTTTGATACACTCCATCTGCTCTGTTTCTGACCAATTGTTGTTTGACGCATTCCATCTGTTTCGTTTCTAACCAAATGTTGTTTGACATGCTCCATCTGTTTTGTTTCTGACCAAGTGTTGTTTGACATGCTCCATCTGTTTTGTTTCTGACCAAGTGTTGTTTGACATGCTCCATCTGTTCAGTTTCTGACCAAGTGTTATTTGACATGCTACATCTGTTTCTGACCAAGTGTTATTTGACATGCTTCATCTGCTTCTGACCAAGTGTTAATTGAAATGCTCCATGTGTTCTGTTTCTGAACAAGTGTTATTTGACATGCTCCATCTGCTTCTGACCAAGTGTTAATTGAAATGCTCCATCTGTTCTGTTTCTGAACAAGTGTTATTTGACATGCTCCATCTGCTTCTGACCAAGTGTTAATTGAAATGCTCCATCTGTTCTGTTTCTGAACAAGTGTTGTTTTATACACTCCATCTGTTCTGTTTCAGACTAAGCGTTGTTTGACATACTACATCTCCATCTGTTCTGTTTCTAACCAAATGTTGTGTGACATGCTCCATCTGTCCTGTTTCTGACAAAGTCCATCTATGCCCACATAAACAGTTGATAACTTGACAAAACTTAGTCCATATCTACCCACACAAACAGTGGATACGTGACCACACTTAGTTCACACATGCATGCACAAACAGTGGCTCAATGATCCATAACTGATCCATATCTACTCCCACAAGTAATGGATTGCCTAACTATACATTATCCATGATGTCCCCACAAACACTAGATTAACCACACACACTAGATCTATTCCTATTCTCACAAACAAACAGAATAAAAATTCAGCCCAAACACCCAAGCTCTATTTCTGAGTTAGTGAACAACATGAAGGATACTCAGGGCCATGAAGACCACTGTCATTATAGGGTGACCATAAGTCCTATTTCTGCCGGGACAGTATCCTATTTTAGGTAGACCCAGACTGTCCCATTGATACTAAAGAAACCCAGACTATCCCACTGATACCAAAGAAAAAATAAACCTCAACTGCTCTAACTTACATTTGTGTGTGTGTGTTTGGGGCAGGGGAGTTTCAATGAGATGGTCTGGCCAGAGTTTAACATTTGGAAGGACACTTGCCCAACAAGCACATATTTCTACTTTATGTCTGAGTCTCATCAGCCATTCTGGTAACTCTGGCTTCAGAGATAAAGACAATGAAAGTGTAAATATGCTAGAGTCAAAGAGGAAGGACTCTTTAGATAAATAAATGAAAATAACTGTAACATAAAAACATCCAGAATAAATCTGTCTGGTTATAAACACGTACTGTTTATTGTTTTGATAGACATACAAAAAATATGAACCCTACTCAAGCAATCAGAAACAGCACCTGGCATTTTTGGCTAATCAGTATACCAATTTAAACGGTATACTGTTTACTATGAGTTAATAACACAAAAATTGTGTAAATATGAACAAAACAATAAATGTGTAAGGATGACAAAAAATGTGATCTTACATTTACCACAATTAGTAACAATCAACACGTTACCAGTGGTAGGACATGTAAAAATGATGTGTTTGATTATGGTAGTATCTCAGTTTTCACAAAACAGAGATATGTACAATTCTTATTGTTGCTTCCAAGCAGCTGTGATGTTTCTGCAAGGTGTTGTCGGGAGTCTTTGAGGACAGTGACCACATGATGTGTGACCAAGTCTGATGGCTGGATGTGGGTTACCCTGTGTGAAGTAATTGCTGAATGTCCGTAACATCATACAAATGAAAATGTTTACAATCCAAGATTCTGGGTCCATCGGTGGGGAAGATTAGAACAGCATACTCTGGCGCCTCTGTTTGCCTGCACAACACAACAAACACAAGGGCAATAAGTGTCCAGGATACAATCATTCTACAAGAATCAAACATGTTTGTGTGTAGGTAAAAATTTGGGTTTGTGTGTGAATTTTTTTCTTCAAATTTCTTCTTATAGTCTATGCTATGTGGTGTTTCTAGTCATGTCCAATCACAATTTTCTGTCTCATGTACTTTCTGTCAGTTTTGACACAAAAGATCTTCCCAGCCACGATCTCAGACTGTAAAGCATCTTCCGTCTCAGTCTCCCTCTGCCTCTCCTCCCTCAAATTTTCCCACCGTCTCAATGTGCTCCAGTTTTCTTTTTCTTATGATGTAAGAAGTTCTACCTGGTGCAAATACTAATGAGTTTGTATATAGCCAATGAAGCTAGCTCTTAAATCTGCTGTTCTTATATTGTTCTATTCCTCTTTTCAGCTTCTGCCTTTTATCCCCCAACAGAGCATAGGAAACTTTACTATCTCATGAATATCTTTTCTGCTTCTTCTAATTACTTTCACGTCCATAGTGCTTTTCCATCTATAATACTCTTCTTCATGTGTGTTTGTGGGGGTGGAAGGCGGAGAGTGTTGAAGGTGGAAAGGTTGGAAGGGTAGATAGGGTGGAAGATGGAGGGGTGAAAGGGTGGAAGCGGTGGATGGGATAGAAGGTGGAGGGGTAAAAGATGAAAGGTGTGAAAGGGTGGGGAGTGTCTATATTTCTTTAGTGACGAAGGGAACAATTTCAAGAAAAAAGGCAGAGGCAGACCGCCTCAAATGTGGATAGAAGACATTAAAGACACTGGCTATAAAAGTACATAGGACTGGAGAAAAGGCTAGTGCTGTGAAAAAAGTGACATTCTGTAAAAGACCTACTGACTGACAATGATTCTGACATGTTTTTCTAGCCAGTGTATGTTCCTCAAGCTCCTGATTTCGTCGTTTGTCTTGTTCTATCCTTGATGGTGCACACCAGTTTTTCAAACAGCTCTACTGCAAGGCTCCATTTGTCTCCATTCTTTGGGATAGAGTCTCATGGTTTTGGGGAAATTCCTTAACTGTTCTTACTTCATTATCAATGTCATAAGGTGAAATAAACAACTATTCAGATGATTTGGTCATATACTGCAATCAGAACGAGACAGTGGCCCACACAGTGTGCTAGTTGGTACAACAAACAAAGTTAGAAATAATTTCACAATAAATACCACCATGTATGAAGCAAACACCAACACTGATTTCAGGTGTCTTTTCTGGAAAGCCACCTACGAGAGAGAGAGAGAGAGAGAGAGAGAGAGAGAGAGAGAGAGGAGAGAGAAAGAGAGAGAGGGAGGAGAGGGAGACAGAGAGAGACAGACAGAGAGAGAGAGAGAGGGGGGGGAGAGAGAGAAAAAGAAAGAGAGAATTAAATATAAAACACACACCATGGTGAACAGAAAGTTGAGAGAGAGAAAATAAGGTAAAACACAGAGCAGGGTGAACAGAAAGTTGAGAGAGAGAAAATAAGGTAAAACACAGAGCAGGGTGAACAGAAAGTTGAGAGAGAGAAAATAAGGTAAAACACAGAGCATGGTGAACAGAAAGTTGAGAGAGAGAAAATAAGGTAAAACACAGAGCAGGTGAACAGAAAGTTGAGAGAGAGAGAATAAGGTAAAACACAGAGAGGTGAACAGAAAGTTGAGAGAGAGAAAATAAGGTAAAACACAGAGCAGGGTGAACAGAAAGTTGAGAGAGAGAAAATAAGGTAAAACACAGAGCAGGGTGAACAGAAAGTTGAGAGAGAGAAAATAAGGTAAAACACAGAGCAGGGTGAACAGAAAGTTGAGAGAGAGGGGGGGAGAGAGAGAGAGAGAAAAAGAAAGAGAGAATTAAATATAAAACACACACCATGGTGAACAGAAAGTTGAGAGAGAGAAAATAAGGTAAAACACAGAGCAGGGTGAACAGAAAGTTGAGAGAGAGAAAATAAGGTAAAACACAGAGCAGGGTGAACAGAAAGTTGAGAGAGAGAAAAATAAGGTAAAACACAGAGCAGGGTGAACAGAAAGTTGAGAGAGAGAAAATAAGGTAAAACACAGAGCAGGGTGAACAGAAAGTTGAGAGAGAGAAAATAAGGTAAAACACAGAGCAGGGTGAACAGAAAGTTGAGAGAGAGAAAATAAGGTAAAACACAGAGCAGGGTGAACAGAAAGTTGAGAGAGAGAAAATAAGGTAAAACACAGAGCAGGGTGAACAGAAAGTTGAGAGAGAGAAAATAAGGTAAAACACAGAGCAGGGTGAACAGAAAGTAAGTCAGGTTACTCCTACTGAAGTAATAATATCATAAGAAGGATATTCAATCACAGACCGACCTACCTGTGGTTGCTAATGATGATGACCTCAAGCCAGGGTCACGATGTAGGGTGATCCCTTGGATTGTAAAAATTGAGACAGCTGAAAAAAAAATGTAAATATCTATGTACAAGGATCCACACAAGTCTACACACACAAAACTACATGCACAAAGCAATAAACATACAAATGTAAACATGCAAATGTATACCAAAAAACATAAAATTAACACTAGAACTATACTTCTTTTTCTTCTGAGCTTTATCTGAGGAAGTAAATGCATTGTGCCCGTTTAGAGCATGGCTGCGAAATTTGCACCTTTTGGCCGACACATCTGACGTCTGCAGGCCTTTGTTGACTGAGTCAGCCTTCCCTGTTAGTTTTGTGGGACATTGCAGTCTTACTGTTGTGAAGTCATCTTTATTTCCTACATCACAGCTGGTGCCCCACATGAGGCCAGTCCAGAGAAGCCATAAATGCTGATCAGCCCTCAAGAGAAGGCAGGGGCAGAACATGAGCATTCTCCGTCATCCAAGGAGGCTTCCATAAATGCCTATACATGGTCCTCTGGTACTGGGCTCACCCAAGGAACTGTTACATCCTGCTCACTTCAAAAGACTGAATATCTGATTCATTATGAACTAGGTTTTCAGAAGCCACAAGCAAGAAGCCTGCAGACCTGGCATAGACTACACACACAAATCCCTATCTTTTTCAATAACAAATAGCAGCTGTGTGATAAGATGGTGGCATACTCACTGTCTGGAAGTTTATGAACTCCTGATCCTAGACAGTCAAAGAATGAGTGCTTCATGGCTTCACAGGCTGACAGCCGTGTCCCGGGGTTGTACTGGAGGCAAGAAATATAAATGACTGATAATAGGAAAAACAATCTGTTGTTAAATGTTACAGAAATAGAAAACATGTTAGCTGCCACCATTTATTATTGCTGTTCTGAATTCCTAATCTGAATACAACTAACTTAAGCCAAGTCTTTTTTAAACTCACTTGTTCATCATTTCTCATATTTTCAGCTAAAGTTATCTATGGTATGTGCTTCCATTCTCAAAACAGCGACGAGCAGCTGTGTTATTTTTCTTGGACTATTCTATTCCCTTGCCATGGACTACTATTTTGTGCACGTTTCCAATGCAGGCTACTATGGTTTTTGTGTGTGTGTGTGTGTGGGAGAAGTGTGTATCGTGGCTGTGTTATGTCGGGGCAGCATACTAATTGATAGATTTGGCAGCCTTAACCATGCTGTGCTCTCCATATTTTGTTTGCACTAGTCTCCTATCCAGGAAGACATAATCTTTAATGCAGGGGGTAGACAGACGGAAATAAGAAAGCAGACAGAGACAATCTTTATTTTACTGAAAAACAAGTCCAGAATTCTTGTGATTTTTGCACTTCTTTGTGAAAAAAGAACATTATCAAAGATGAGATGTGGAGAAGCACCACCATAAAGACTGTTAGCAAAACACCCTATGATGACAACTAGAAATATTAACAAACGATAGTGAACAAAGATCTCACAGTAAAGTACTTACCTTCAGGAACTTATCCAACAAATCTAAACCAACAGAATCCAATCTGCAACCAAACAAACACAAATGAAACAGTAAAAATAAGGTCCCACTCATTCAGGTAAGCAAATACAAAAAAAGGCAAGTTATGTAACAAAACAACACCTGATATATTAACCAACATCTTCTTCTTCTTCTTCTGCCTTTCTAACTAACCCTCAATGGAGCATAGGCCCTCAATCAACTCACACAAAGTTTTTCTATCATTTGCGATCGCAGACAGCTCTCCCTAATGCGATTGCAGACAGCTCTCCCTAATGTGATTGCAGACAGCTCTCCCTAATGTGATTGCAGACAGCTCTCCCTAATGCGATTGCAGACAGCTCTCCCTAATGTGATTGCAGACAGCTCTCCCTAATGTGATTGCAGACAGCTCTCCCTAATGCGATTGCAGACAGCTCTCCCTAATGCGATCGCAGACAGCTCTCCCTATGTCCTTCCCATCAACTTCACTCTCTAGCTCCCTTCTCTGTGTGTTTTTGGGTCTACCCTATTTCTATGCCCCTGTGGGTTCCTGTGCAAAGACATACTAGTTATATTGTTCCCAGGTTTTCTCAAAGTGTGTCCTATCTAAAGCCAGCATCTTTTCTTCACCTGTTGGCTCACTGGAACTTGTTTAGTTCTCTCCCAAAGCTTTGCATTAGTGATTCTATCATACCATTTAATTCCCTCTATTCTGCATCACTTTGACTTTTCTATGGTTGGCTGGTTTTTATGGCTACTGTTTTTACAGGATGAGGTAGCCAACTTCAAGCCCAACCCTACCCTTAGTCGTCTTTTACGACATGGCTGGTAGGGTGCAGTGTCACTATTCTTTGCTTCCCGTGAATGCCCAGGTGACATACTGGCAACAAACCTACTCATTGATAACAAGAATTTAAATATTTTAAGACAGGCAATACACTGTGGACTGTATTGTATGGATCACATTATTAAAATATACACAAGGGAATATGTTTGCTTTATTTTAATTTCTAAAACAAAAACTGATCAACTTTTCCAGAAAAACAAACATATTAGTTGTCTGGGAAAAACTCCAGGTTGTCACACCTATTTTTTTGAAGCAGATTTAGAATATTTTCAATGTTAAAACAATCTCTCCTCGTAGTATCTGACTAAATACCTGACAGACTCAACCTGCTATTTACAGTGTCTGATTAAATAAGTTACGGACACAAACTTCTGTTGACAATGTCTGACTAAATACCTTACAGACTCAAACTTCTGTTGACAATGTCTGACTAAATACCTTACAGACTCAACCTTCTGTTGGCAGTGTCTGACTAAATACCTTACTGACTCAACCTTTTGTTGACAACATCTGACTAAATGCCTTACTGACTCAACCTTCTGGTGATAATGTCTGACTAAATGCCTTACTGACTTAACCATCTGTTGATAATGTCTGACTAAATACCTTACAGACCCAACCTTCTGTTGGCAGTGTCTGACTAAATACATTACTGACATCAACCTTTTGTTGACAACATCTGACTAAAACCTTACTGACTCAACCTTCTGGTGATAATGTCTGACTAAATTCCTTACTGACTTTACCATCTGTTGACAACATCTGACTAAATACCTTACAGACTCAACCTTTTGTTGACAGTGTCTGACTAAATACCTTACCGACTCAACTTTCTGTTGAATGCGTTTGATTAGGCACCTCACAAACTAAACTATCTGCATAGTCACAAATCCTAAAGACTAGGCTTCTGTTACCTGTATCCACAAATCCTAAAGACTAGACTTATGTTACCTGTATCCACAAATCCTAAAGACTAGACTTCTGTTACCTGTATCCACAAATCCTAAAGACTAGACTTCTGTTACCTGTATCCACAAATCCTAAAGACTAGACTTCTGTTACCGGTATCCACAAATCCTAAAGACTAGATTTCTGTTACCCTTATCCACAAATCCTAAAGACTAGACTTCTGTTACCTGTATCCACAAATCCTAAAGACTAGACTTCTGTTACCTGTATCCACAAATCCCGAAGACTAGACTTCACGTACCTGGGGGCTATGTTGATGAGATTATCTGGCTGAAACTTAGGGAAGTGATAGGCTATAAAATCCTCATTCTTGCTGATGCCCGGCATTGAGTCTTCTGTGGGCAGACCTAATGTCTTGAAGATCAAGTGCAGCTCATCGTCCACTGTGGATCCTGGGAACAATGGTCTTCCACAAGCCATTTCATAAAATATACAGCCCACTCCCCTGGGGAGGAAACAAATCAGATGTCAGTTTGAAAAATACAGACAACAGACAAGAGAGACAGATTCTTTTTCTGTCCTTTAGCTCCCAATGGAGTTTAGGCCCTCAACCAACTCATAACAAGTCATCCTATCCTTTGCTATCATATACAACCCCATATCTTCCCCATCTTTTTAACTTCCCTCTGTAGTTCTCTTCTCCAAATTTTTTTTTTCTGTGTGGTATACCCTTATTTCTATGCTCCTCTGGGTTCCAATTTGAAGCCCTTCTAGTTATACTATTCTCAGGTTTTCTCAGTGTGAGTCCTATCCTATGCCAGTGTCTCTTCCTCAACTATTGATTCACTGGAATTTGTTTAACTCTTTCAGGCCCATGAATTTTGACAGACTTGGCCCACATTAATTTCCCTTTACAAAAATGGCAGAGGGGTGGGTGTACAAGAAAGGCTGTAGAGATTGTAAAATACTTCTAATCCCTATAACAGTATATATTTTTTAAACGAGAAATGAGTGTACATTCTGAATCTGATGATATGTGTTTGTTTGATTTTGTTATAGTTAGTGAAAAAGAAGAATTCAGCAGGTGTTAATTTCACATGAACAACATTTCACAAAAAAATTCTTCACTTACCATGGTTTTGCAGCCACAAAAATAGTAAATATCCAAATTTGAGAACAAAACTTCAAAGTTTGTTCAATTTCCTAACATATTCTAAAGTTATGATAACTTTCTGGGTTAGTTTATCACTCAGGGGCTCTTAGTTCCCACCGAGTGCTTTGCAAAATTTCAGAGAAAAAATGGCAGAAAAATGAGCCATAACACACACACTATTTACTATTCACTTTGTACAGTTATTTACAGACTGTAGCTGCGATGATTTCAATGTAGCTTAGCCATAGTATAGTTCTATCTCTTTGTTTAGAGCACTTTCCTTCTCTTACACCATAAATACGGTAGTATGGGACATTGTCTGTGTAATAAACTCGTCAGAATCGCTAGATTCCGATCAGCTGATCGCTCAGCTTCACTGGTGAAAATTCACTGTCCGAATCACTTTCCAAAAAATCTAAATTTTTATTATCATTATCACAATTAAAAACATCTGACTGAAACAATTTCAGAGCTTCGACCGCAGAAAGACGCATTCTGCGACCTGTTCTTGTGGTTAGAACATTGGTATTCAGTGCACTCAAAAACGAACTTAGAAAATGAACTGTTAAACAAATTTTGATGTTTTTTTCTCTCAAATTATCCACGTGTGGTTTAGTCCAAGAAATGAAACTAAAAGGATTTCGGCAGAGTGACTTTCCCTGAATAGATTATTCGTACCTGCAAACATTATAAACTAGTACAAACACGCGTGCGAAGCAAAATGTAAGAGATACACGATTGACGATGACACTGTTGTTTGGGCAGAACGGAACTTCTCAAACTACGCTCACACCGTTGTTTGGACTTTAAAGAGTTAACTCTCTCCAAAAGCTCAACATTAAAGATTTTATCATACCATTTAATTCCGAGTATTCTGTGCAGGCACTAGCTAATGAAAGTTTGTGGTTGACTAGTAACTGTTTTAGTAGTTCTCGATGTTTCCGCTATATACAGCAGCATTGATTTGAGAGACAGATTACCCCAACTTAAAACACATGACTACTACTTCTGTTGATGATGAACTGCAATTCTAGTGGCAGACTTTGCTGGCACTTCTGATCTGCCTTATGCATTTAATGTACGTGTATGCTGCTAGTAGGGAGTCACCGTGGTGTAGCGGCTAGATGCTTGCCTGCGGATGGGTTTGCTCCCTGGTGGAGCTGAACTTTTAAAAAACATGACATTGACTCCCAGGTTGACCCAGACTTGAGTGGGTACCAGGTACAGTCCTGGAAAGATGGCCAGCGTGATTCTGACCACATCAACAATCTTGTGCTGATTGGTCAATTAAAAATATAGATCTAGCCCTATATGCCCTATACGCCTAAAGACGTGGAAAAGGGACCTTTCATTTTTAAATTATGGCGTGACCCTTTCCCCACAAAGTTAGAAGTGCGATCAACTGGTTAATATGACTAAAATTGGGTTTTGATTATATTCTGCCACAGGCAAACTATGTAGCTATGCCATATAAGTTTTGTAACAATGTCTGACATAGGAAAACACCTGGCACCTTCAATTTCATGCCAGTTTGTTCACTGTAAAATATGACACAAACCTGACCGACTTTCTAAAGAAGGTCACTTTCAAAATAAAAACTGACCAGATTTTCTAGCAACTGCATTTGATATGTACCCAAGTTGTAACATTAAAAATAATATTATACACATGATTTTACAGCACACAAAAAACAGGTAGAACAATGATAGCATTTGTGTCCATTGCTGACAGTTTGCCTTACTAGCAGAGGCAAGGCCAGAAACATCTACAGCAGCTCCTGAACCACAGTGATCACAATCTTCAATCCAAATCTAACAAATGATCCTTGCTAAATCAAACTGGTTTTACTTCAGTAAATCCCCAGCCACTGCCACATTAGTCGGCGTCTGTGGCTTAGGTGTTGCGAACGTGCTTCATAATGCCAGGGTACTGTGTTTAATCCCAGCTGCAGACGATCTGTCTTGGGCTGGATTTTGACAGTGGTAACAGGAGCTGACGGTTCAGAAGGAATGGCAAACTAGTGAATGTAAAATTTGCCTAGAAAAAACACCAGAACAGCCAAAATATGCTGGGGTTGGTTCTGCAATGTCCTGTAAAGGATATGCAACTAACTCAACTGCTACATGAAGGGAAATGAAAGAGCAAACAACTCAGCAATAACTGGAAGTCATACACAACAGCCGGTTGGCATTTTAGAGTAATTCAAGCTGTATGCAACAGTGGAAGACATACAACAGACTTATAGGGGCCGGTGGCCTTCTCATGTGAAAACCACCGGCAGGGAGAATAAAAGATCACATTTTTTGCAGGCAGCAAGATTCCGCTCAGGAAGGCAACAAACAGCTGATTTAGGTTTAGGTTTAGATGACGGATCAACACCACGGCACAAGGTTAGTAACCCTTAAGTCTTCTTCTTCTTCTTCTTCTGCCTTTTTATCTCCCAACAGAGCATAGGCACTCAACCAACTCACGCCAAGTCATCTATCCTTCGTCATTGCATGGAGCTCTCCCCATGTCCTCCCCATCTTTCTAACATCATTCTCCAGCTCTCTTCTCCATGTTTTTTTTTTGGCCTTCCTTTATTCCTATGCCCCTGTGGATTCCAATGCAAAGACATTCTGGTTATGCTGTTCTCCTGTTTTCTCAGTGTGTGTCCAATCCAGCGCCAGCGTCTTTTCCTCACCTCTTATTTCCACTGGAGCCTGTTTAGTTCTCTCCCAAAGCTCTACATTAGTTAATCATAGCATTTAATTCCCTCTATTCTGCGCAGGCACCAGTTAATGAATGTCTATAGTTTATTAGTAATTGCCTTAATTGTTCTCCATGTTTCCGCCCCCTACAAAAGTACTGGTTTGACATTAGAATTAAAAATTTTAGTTTAGTATTTCTTATAATTTCTTTTGACCTCCACAAATTCCTTGCCTTTTGTATTTTTATTTTAATATCTCTATCAGTTCCTCCATCTTTATCTACATTACTGCCCAAATAGGTGTACGACTCCACGTCTTGGAGTGGGGTGCCATTAAGAGAAATCACATTACTATTTGCCTGGTTTATTCTCATTATCTTTGTTTTCCTTTATGGATTTTCAGACAAGCTGCTGTGATCTCGCATCAAGTATATTTAATTTATCTTGCATCTGATTCCGTGAATAGGACAGAAGAGAAATATCATCAGCGAAGTCCAGATCATCAAGCTGTTTTGTAGGGGTCCACTGAATTCCATTCTTGGTGTTAGCAGTTACTGTTTTCATAATCCAGTCTATAGCCAGTAAAAATAAGAGAGGCGACAAAAGACATCCCTGTCGCACACCTTTTTTTATTTCAAATGTTATTTGTTAGCTTTCCCTCATGAAAAACACGACAATTCATATATTTATATGTTGCCTTTACTAAGTTAATAATTTTCTGTGGGATTCCATAGTGCCCCATCAATTTCCAGAGAGATTCCCTATCATTGCTGTCAAATGCTTTTTCATAGTCTATAAATCCAATGTAAAGTGGTGAGTTCAGTTCAATGCTTTGCTCTATTATAATACATCATGTCGCTATCTGGTCAGTACAGGACCTGTTTGAACAAAAACCTGCTGTTATCTTAGGGATAAAGAAGTTAAGGAACAGTTTTCAGTTACAATAATTAGTTACTCTAATAAGTACCAGGTGTTGCTGCAGTTAGCTAAAGATGTCAGCACAGAAGTCTGCTGGGATCAGATCAAAGGAATCTGGAATGAATCTTGCGTAGAAGTTCTTGGCAAGAAAGAACGGAAACATAAAGTGTGGATAACACCAGAAACCATTAAACTGACTGAAGATAGGAAAAGTAAAAAGGCAGACTTAAAAAATAGCAAAACTAGAGCTGCTAAAGATAGAGCTCAGGATTAAAATACACAGAAGCCAATAAGGAAGTTAGGAGGCGTATAAGGGAAGATACAGTGAAATGTCTAAATGATCTAGCACAAGAAGCGGAGACAGCAGCAGCAAAAGGAAACCTCAGAGAATTTTACAGTAACCCTTAAGTGCTTTGTTCTAATTTTGACTCAAGCCTGAGTCTGAAGAATCTTAGTGCAGTGCATGAACTGCGCCGCACCGTCGAGGATCATGAAATACTTTTGGTAGATTTTGACTGCAAATTTTGAGCAGGCAGCGACATTAGGCTCCTGTTTTTAGATTTCTAACTGCCAAAGTTTTTTTAAACGCAGGCAACAATACACACGGGCATCCGATCTTACTACCCAGAAACCAGGAGGAATTAAGAGAAGTTCACAACAACAAAAATCCCAGCCTTCACAGGGGCTTGAACCCAGGACCTCTAGCACTCAAGATGCACCATGCCTCAAGACCACGCAGCCCCATAAGCTGACTTACCACATGTCTATTGATGTGGAATACTCTGTTGAGCCCAGCAAGACATCCGGCGGTCGGTACCAGAGCGTCACAACCTCGTTGGAATATGTTTTGGTGGGTATCGACTTGGCCCTGGCCAGACCTGCAGATACAAAGAGAAAAAAAAAACATTAACATTGTTACAGCTGTTACTGTACAAACACCTGGTTACTTCTGTTACTGTACAGACAACTTGTTACTTTACAAACACCTAGTTACTTTTGTTACTGTACAGACAACTAGTTACTTTTGTTACTGTACAGACAACTTGTTTCTTCTGTTACTGTACAGACAACTTGTTACTGTACAGATAACTTGTTTCTTCTGTTACTGTACAGACAACTTTTTACTTTTGTTTCTGTACAAACAACTTGTTACTTGTGTTACTGTACAAACAACTTGTTACTTTTGTTACTGTACAAACAACTTGTTACTTTTGTTACTGTACAAACAACTTGTTACTTTTGTTACTGTACAAACAACTTGTTACTTCTGTTACTGTACAAACAACTTGTTACTTTTTTACTGTACAAACAACTTGTTACTTCTATTACCAGCCAACATAATCTCAATCACTGACTAAAACTGTAGCTGAGAAGCCAACATTACTTCTACCACTGACTAAAACTGACTAAAACTGTAACCGACCAGACAAAAATTTCTACAGACCAAGTGACACTAGTTGGGTGAGACCGTTAGCATCACGCCAGCTGCCTTTACTTCCAAGGATCTTACCTGGTACCTATGTAAGGCTGGGTTGATCTAGGTGCCAAGGTCAATTTTCAAAAGAAATGAGGCACAATGTGGATCAAAGCCTAAGACCTTCTGACTAGTAAGTGAGCATCTCGCCACCATGCCATTGTGGCTGCTGATATATTTTATAGAGACATCAAATGGCGAATTGATGTACAACAAGCTAGATGTTGTGAGGGCCTTTTGGCAGCAAGTGAACAGTGTAGAGGCACAGAAAGATCATTACGGTCTGAGAAGAATGGTGAGGCGAGGAGTTACTAGGGGATCTGGCCGACGCTCAACACTAAAGGGGGACGGCAGGGCGGATATACAATCAGCCAGTTACTGGTGCCATCGAAATTGGAACTTTTCGCTTGCTGCTGAAGATGGGGGACGAAGCGTTTATGAGAGTGCTCTGAGTGCTGTGATGTCGGTTCTCAATTCAACATAGACACACAGAATGACATGATCTGCAGACAAACAGATGTAATGACATCCTGTAAACACGCAATGACATCACAAATGGCATGGTCTGTTGACATACGACAGTATACCTTAAGGCATGCTAGCTTACAACACTAACATGACGGGCAACATGTAAAAAAAAAAAAAACAGACACAACACAAACAAATGTAGGAAATATCACCAACCAAAGTCAGCTAACTTGAGCTCCCCTCTCTCGTTGATCAACAGATTCTGTGGTTTGAGATCCCTATGAAGTACTCGTCGTTTGTGACAGTAAGAAAGGCCTCGCAGGAGTTGAAACAAAAACAACTGCAAAATAATGCGAGAAAGACATACTGTAACTATAAGCAACAAACTATAACTAAGTTGATACACATTCTAACAATCAATGACATACTATAACGATCATGGGTAAACTTTTTGCTTTCCTTTCACTATTAAAAGGACAGCTGGCATGTTTTGTTGCGGTTTACAGCTTGCCTGAGTGCATTCTGGATCCTTGTCGTGGGATAAAAATAGAGTAGACCCACTGCCTCCCCAACAAGCAGGTTGAAAGAGTCGACTAATTAGGGACTTGAGAGGTAAGCAATCAACAGTCTGCATTCATATAAGCCAGATATGTACAACAGAAATGCAGGCAAAACTCAAGTTCAGAACAAATAGTAAAGTCTAGAAATTGGACTTAAAGATGCCCTGGACATAAGAATTATGTAAGTCAGAGGCAGGGGTTAATGAAGACAAAGATAGAAATAGGACATAAAGAACACCCTGGACATAAGAATTGTGTGACACAGAAGCAGGGGTTAATGAAGACAAAGATAGAAATAGGACATAAAGAACACCCTGGACATAAGAATTGTGTGACACAGAGGCAGGGGTTAATGAAGACAAAGATAGAAATAGGACATAAAGAACACCCTGGACATAAGAATTGTGTGACACAGAGGCAGGGGTTAATGAAGACAAAGATAGAAATGAGAAATAAAGAACACCCTGGACATACGAATTGTATGACACAGAGGCAGGGGTTGATGAAGACAAAGTTAGAAATGGGACATAAATAACATCATGGACATACAAATTGTATGACACAGAGGCAGGGGTTGATGAAGAGAAAGTTAGAAATAGGACATTAAGAACATCCTGGACATAAAAATTGTGTGACACAGAGGCAGGGGTTGATGAAGAAAAGATAGAAATGAGACATAAAGAACACCTTGGACATAAAAAATGTGCAAGACAGAGGCAGGGGTTGATTGAGACAAAGATAAATATGGGACTTGAAGACACCCTGGACATACACAAATTGCACAAGACAGGGGAAACAACAAAAGGTGAGTATTTTCAGCAAAGTATCTGCTATATAATGTTGCTGACAATGAACATTTTATTATATAATATGACATAGTGTCATCAGTCATTTTACACTTGAGGAGCTACTGAGAAGGAGATCTGAGCACTTATGGATCTATCTGCTGCGATGACACTCCTAACTATCACTAATAATATGACATGGCGTCATCAGTCCTTTTATGCTTGTAGAGCTACTGAGGAGGAGATCGAAGCACCTATGGATCTGTCTGGAGTGATGTGATGACAGTCTTCACTAATCACTAATCAACTGAGATGGGAGATAGAAACCTGTGTCCAAGAGACAGCACTCAACATTGGGTCTCACCTTAACATTGGTCATACTCATGATGTTCCCACAGTCATCCATGTACTGTTTGAGGTCTTTCTCCTGCAAACACAACACATGTCAGCTTCAATTCAACAAATCATTTATAAACCTTAATTGAACAAATTATCTCCAATTAAAAAAATTATTTGTAGTCATTAACTGAACAAATCATATCATACACAACCACACATTTAACCACCACACATATAACCACTGATTCAACTCAACTGCTGACCTCACAACTGCGAACACACAACCACACATATAACCACCGCACATATAACCACCGCACATATAACCACCACATAAATAACCACTGATTCAACTCAATTGCTGACCTCACAACTGCTAACACACAACCACACATATAACCACCTCCCATATAACCACTGACTCAACTCAACTGCTGACCTCACTTGTGCTACCACACACCCGCACACACACACAACCACCACACACAATCACCACACACACACACACAATCACCACACATACAAATGCTGACCTGGCAAAGACTAAGAGAAAGTCTCAAACACTGACACACTGCCAGGTTGTACTTACTAAATACTCAAAGACTAACGTCAGGGACTTGTCAGTGTGAATGATGTCATGTAGGGTCACGATGTTGGCATGTTTCAGGTCACGTAGTAACGACACTGCAGACAGAAACAGACCAGGTCAGTTTTCTGTTACATTAGAATCCCAAACATATTTCACAGCTTCATTAACCACAATTAAAAAAATAACGAATCCATTTCATGCCAGCCTGGCATCATGTACGTTATGCCAGACTTATAACTGTTATACACCAGGCGTAGTCAAAAGGTCAAGGCGTCAACATCACATCAGTCACCTTTCCTTTTTATTATCAAATATGCTGGTACCCATTTGAGGCCAAAATGACCTTGGCTCCCAGGTCGACCCAGCCTTGAGTGGGTACTAGGTACAACTCTGGGAGGTAAAGGGGACCGGGGTGATGGTGACCACATAACTCACCATGTGCCTGACGGTCTATAAAAATGCAGGCCCAGCCCTATATGCCCAATGCGACTGGAAGAGGGTTTTGTACCTTTTTTTTTTTTAAAAACTGTTTCTCATTTTATTTTAGGCCAGATTGTTGAGGCAGCACAGGTCAATTTTTGTTCCAAAATCTGTGCAATCAGGAATCAGCCCAAAAATGTGGAGGTTGAGAGGTGTGAATCTAGCAACAACGCTATCACAAGTCCCAAAACCACAATTTGTTTATGTTATTAACTCTGATCTGTGCCTGCAGCCTAGGCATTGTGGTACTGAGGTGTTGGGTTCCATCCCCGCTGTGAGTGATTTAGCAGCAGACCGCCTTTGATCAGTTTTGACAGGAGTATCGAGATCCAAAAGCAATGGCAAATTCCTGAACCTAAAGTTGCCTATTAAAATTAAAACAACCAACCCATGCTGCAGTTAATTTTAATTCTTCACTCTCGTGCCTGCGAAAAACATGCAACTAAATTTTTATTTTAAATAAACTTTACTGATGTATCACTGTCACTTAAAAAAAAAACGTATTAATTTTTTTTTCAATATGTCAGCATACAAGACATTAGCATATATGAAAAAGCTGGAAGATTAATTAACATAATTTCTTAAAATTTGTACATAAATTACCAAACATGTATGCGTCACTAATTTACTAAATAAATATAATGCAATCTTGCTGGTATTATATATAAATACATGTGTCAAATATTAATACAGTTTAATTACGGCCATAGCCACTGAGTTAACCGTATGTGCCTATTCCTCCCCACCAAATATATGGTTGACACATTCCATTTCTGGGGACAGCTTTTATCAAGTTTGCTCTCTAGACAGTTGCAGTCCCCTGCTAACGAGATTCTGTCTTCCCGAGACAAGTTTGATTACAATACCAACAGTTACTGCTCAGAAATGAATATTATTTCACTGACAGATTATAACAGTTAAACTGATGCTATGAAGACCACAGGTCTTAACGTATCTGTTTTTTTTTTTTTCATCACACTTTGAAAGAAGACAAACAACAAAGACAGACAGAAAGAAAAAAAAAAAGAAAGAAAGAAGAGAGGATGAAGGAAAAAATGGATAAAAGAAAGAAAGTTGTTTTCTTTCTCTCTCTCATTCAAACCCCAACCACATTAACTTTTACCTCTGACCCTACAATAGTGTACGAGTCTTTCACTCCACAACTGAACAACTCGACTGTGCTGGTACACATCAATGACATCAAAGCAAGCACTTACCCTCCCTGATGGCCGTACAAGGGGCTCCTTCCTCATGCTCAAGTCGAATCTCTTTTAAAGCCACCAAATTATCTGTCAGCCTGGACTTGCCCTTAAACACAGTCGCATAGGTGCCCTAAAAAGGGAAACAACCATAATTATTTCATAACAGAATACCTATGTGCCAGTCCTAACTTACGGGTGTGAATCATGGACAATGACATCAGCCAGCAAACTTCAGTTTCGGGCCCCCAGAAAATCAGGTATCTCAGAAAGATGGTCCAAGTGACAAGAAGGGACAAAGTTCACAACCAGACAATTCATCAAGATCTTGAAACCCAGGCCTTACAAACTCGAGTGGATCAGTCGCAGTTATAAAGGTTTGGACATGTATGCAGACTGGGAGAGAATCAACAACTATGGCTTATAACCAGGGAACCAGACCTCCAGGGTGACCCAGGGTTCGATGGGAAGACAACATCCGACAGTCCCTGACAGAGGACTGGAATGGAACAAAGCCAAAAAATAAAACTGCTGATAGAGAAGTTTGGCAATCACTCTGGTAAACCTCTACATCCCAAGGTAGAAGACGATCGACTAAGTTAAAGAAAGTAAAGTTATTCTATAACTATTTTTAAAAAAGTGCTATAAAACATCTCTGTCACTGTTCAAACAGTGCCATAAAGAGAGACAACTATTGTATCATTGTGGAACCAGGCCCCTAAACAAACAGCAGCGTCTGGTCTCGGCAGACAATCAATGCTGATATGATAGTGGCACATGTGCTTTACAAATATATAACAACGATATTTTCTTCTTAGCGTTCACTGGCTGTAAACTCCAGGGGAAAGTTTTGGTTGTTCATCCACTTTGGGACTTTGGTCTGGTTCAAAATGTTGGTTCCCCGCCTCTCAGGCAGATGCACTCTGACTTCAAAGAAAACCCCTCTAATTAGTCAACTTTAACAACATGCTTGTTAAGGAGGTGGGGGGGGGGGGGGGCAGGGGATCTATCTCCCCCCCCCCCAGCAACAAACCCACACAAAGATACAGTCATATGAGACTTAAGAGATCCAGTCTAGGTGGGAAACACTCAGGTCCCTGTGTTTTGTGGTTCAGTCTTGTCCTTGAACTCACAGTACAATCTGCTTAGGAAACTGTCCATCCTTGCCCCTGAATGCTAGATTTTAGCAATATGATTAAACCTATGGTGCTTTTGTGCTACAGAACTTGTATTCTTCTCCTTTCACTTATTTTCTGAATGAACAAACTTTTATTTTGACGAGTTGATGATAAATTTAATGAACGGATTTCTGACAAATTACAAGATTTTAAAATATATTTTTGCTAACTAAAAGAGATAGAACAGTCTAAACCTTCTTAGGGAAAAGGCAAGGATAACGAGATTAAATGAACTTATGATGAGCTTGATGAATTGATATCTGATGAATTACAAGATTTTAAAATATAAATTTGCCAACTATAAAAGATCATCATCATCAACTGCCTTGCCAGCTGGCGTAGGCGTTCATGCATCTCCACAGATCTCGGTCTTTGGTGTTCTGGATCAATTCCACTGATGACATTCCAACATGCCACTGTCTTGAGCCATCCACCATCATTTCTCTTGGTCTGCCTCTGCCTCTTCATTGTTAGTTATTCTGGCAGTCCAAGGTATTCACAACAAGAACCCAATCTCAGACGCCTCTAAACTTCTTAATTTAAAGCAATGTTTCCCAGCTGTGAATTTGAACAAAGAAGACACAAACAATCCACTGCACAATTTATTGCCTGGCATATTTCACTGTATCTCGTCAGGCTATCGATAGCTTCGGCTATCAGCCGGATTAATCCAGATTTGTGCAGGCAGAAAGACATGCTTTGCACCTTGCCGTTACCCTGGTGAAACAGACAGTTTGTGAATGTAGTCAATTTTGTGTTTCACTTCAAAGGATATATTTACTTGCTTCATGTTAATTAATTTTCACTGTAGAAGGCACCTGATGAGATACAGCAAAATATGTCATGCAGTAAACTGTGCAATCTGTTGTTTGTGTCTTCTTCTTAATTTGTTTGCTCACATTCCAAGATTCAATGTCATGCGATAGAACAGGCTTGATATAAGAGATGGGATAAAATCATTCTCAGTGAATCATATTTCTTACCTCCCCAAGTTTATCCAACTTTGTGTAAGATTCAATCTTTCCAAACCCAATCTCCGACTGAAATATATTAGAAAAGCCAGAATGTGAGATTTACAAACCGGGTTAAAAGATTAAAAATAATAATGAGATTTACAAACCAGGTTATAGTATTAAATATAAGAATCTACAAATCACTTAGAGGTGAATAAACTATTACACTTCTGCAAGTAAATGCCGGCTATCATCATAGACCAAGTGTAACAGTAAGCTGCAAGTCTGTGAGACCTTTGGTGTTGGCACATCTGACAAAAAATACAAGACCCACCGCGCCCATAAAAAAATGGGTTAACACTTAATTCTTGCTGTATGAAGTTACGGAGGTTGTAACACCCAACAAGCTCTAAGTCTTAGTGAAGTTGTGTATATAGTCTGTTTCAGCTAAACTCATCATGGGTTTGAACTAAACAAATCTTGACTAACCATAGCCAGTTTCTGACTTGACTAACTGCAGCACATAACAATGCCGAAGAAAAAAAAAACTGTTGGCTGTAAGAATTAAGTTGCAATGCCTACTAACTCCAGCTGTGAACGGAACAGACAGCAACAATGATAATAATGTTTGAGTTCACTAGTATAATCTCCATCTGATACATACCAGAGATTTTCTCCGTGACCTCCGGGTCAGCTGACCATCTGGACTCAGAGACAAGGACTGCTGGGCCAGGAAGTTTTCTGGTAGTCTGATGTCTGCAGGCAGAGACAAACGTTTGGTGACCTCCTGGGGATCAGAAACATTAGACAGTCAATACTACAAAATGTTCAATGTACAATCAAGAAACATTAGTAAATGAGCCTCTAATCAGCTGGCGAAAGACGAGCTAAGTTAGTGGATACTTCCGGTCAGAGAGTAGGTCAGCTATATCAAACAGTCTTCTGCCTTATTATAACAAGGAACAGTAAATGCGATGTCTGGGCTTGTTAGTGCCAACTGTTGTTTCCTGATATTAAACATGAAAATGACATCAGTGTATTTTCAAGTTCACTCCTTGTCTCAACCCCCTCATCTGTCCACCAACCACAACTCCCTGCATCACTTGCCGTTCAGTATATCTAATCTGGCAATGAAAGTAGGAGCAGAGCTCAGACATCGAAGCAGAAGACAGGTTGCACGACAGACATAGCCACCCCTTTGAATACCATAGTTCACAGTTCAGTTCTTTATAATATCCTAAGCCAGATGACGTCACAGGATGGTCCAACATTTTAGAAGTTGGTAAGGCTGGGTTTTCCGGCTTTCTGCTGCTTTTAACGACCCCAAAACATCTAGAACTGGTCCTAACCCCAACCCACCTTCGTTCCACGAGAAAGTGCAGCCTAGGTCCCACGACTGCATGCAGAATATCTACCTTCTTCTTCACTTCCTCTTTTACCGCTGCGGGTGTCGAGGGAGATATAAGGTTCTGTTTCTAGCTCTTCTGGCTGCCTCGACCATAGGCACATCGTGCTGTTGTAGAGTTTCTCTGATGTTATCCTTCCATCTTGTTCTTAGTCTACCCCGTGCTCTACGTCCTTCTTCTCTTTCCATGTATGCTTTGTATGGTATGGTGTCACAAGGCATTCTCTCTAAGTGGGCAAACCATTTCACTTGATGTCTTTGTATGAAATCCAGAATTGGCTCTGTGCCGACTTGTTCTCTTATGATCTCATTCCTGATCTTATCTCTTATGGTCACTCCTACAGCCCTTCTCAGACATCTCATTTCCATGGTTACTAATTTTCTTTTATGGTTTGTTGTGAGTGACCATGTCTGGCACTGGTAGCACAGAGTTGGTATAAATATGCTTTGAATAAGATGTCTCTTTGTGCTCATTGGGATTGTCTTATGCTGTAAGAGGGGGGCTAGCTGTCCCAATACTTGGTTTGCTTTACTGCATCTAATGTCAATTTCTTTATCCAATTTCCCATCTTCGGTAAATGTAGTTCCCCGATATTTAAACTCAGATGCCTGTTTAATGCCTTTGTATTCTATTGCTATGTTTAGATCTGTCTTCTTTTTTTCCTATTGACATTACTTCTGTCTTTTCAGTGTTGATTCTCATATTATTTGTTTTACATTCTTCATTCATGGATGTTAGATGTTGTTGCAATTTCATGGCTGTATCTGCTATCAAGGCCTGGTCATCTGCAAAGAGTAATTCGTTGATCTTACTAAGATCTTCATTCATGGGCTTGGCATTCTTGCATATACTGTCGATGTAGGTGATAAACAGCAGTGGTGATAAGACACACCCCTGTCTTACTCCAGATGTCACTGTGAAAGGATGAGATGTTCCCTGATTTATTCTAACTACACTTCTACAATCCCTAGAATATCTACCACCCCCTGAAATATTAGACTGTCCCGTGACCTGTGGACTTTTCCTGTTTGGGGTAGAATATTAATTAAGCACTCATAGTTAATGTTAGAGATCATCTTCATGGCACATCGGACATGACCATAAGTGTTCCGATCTCCTCCTGAGTTTGTTTCCAAGTGTTTTTTTTTTTTTTAAAGGCTAACAACTCTTTTTCTGTTCTGGCTGATGTAACGACGGTCGGCTCCTGCCTGGTTTTCCTGTCAGGCGGCTCCTATTGGAACACCCAATGTATGCATTCTACTGAGTGAACAATCATTTTCCACGAAACTGAAAGTGAAAGCCTCACAGTGTTGAGTCCCTCGTACGGCATTGATGATGTCTCTCTTGTCCATAAAGGGGCACATTCCTGATTGTCGCATTGAAAGCCAGAGCGTCCGCTCTCTCACTGCCTTTCACACCAGCATATCCTGGGACAAAAATGAAGGCGATCTTGCACATTTCTGTATGCTGAATCAGATGGAGTCACTGTTTCCGTATGTACCCCCACCTTGATCTTCTCTAGCATGCTGAGTCGCTGTAGCAAATATGCATTGGTGAGCTTTTAAGTTTTTAGCCATTTTGGGGCCTTTGTCACAGCAATGATCTCCAACGTCAGGCTGTTGGTGGTAGAACACCAACAGATGCGAAACCAGTCAGATACCCAGACGTCACAGTCGAAACCGACAAAGTCCTTTTTAGGCCAGAAACAACCAGGAAACGGAGGCAGGCGGGGGATTTAGCGCAAGACCAGCCTAAATGGGTCCACTTCTAGAGACAAGATAACTTACAACCCAGCATATACAAGATGGAAGATGGACGAACTTTAAATAAAACAGATCAGGAAGTTACCAGACAGAATCGCATAATTATTACCTTGATATAAAAATATACACACACACACAAACAGAAAGCTTTTACTGTTCGAGTGCGCTATGGAGATTTATGGACAGGTTCTACTGTAAAACTACATTTTTTAAATGTTTGTTTTAGTATCAATGACCGTCTGTAGTTAAAGGCTTTCAAGCCGTTATATTAATTTTTTCATTTGTGACAACAGTCAGTTCCAAAAGCGTTGCCCAGTTTTAAAAATCTGTAAATCTAACCGTTCGATGTAAATTGTTGCAATGTATCATGTAACCTGTTAATAATCAAGTCCTTTGTAGAAATTTAAAAAAAAAATTTAAATAAATATCTTGTTTTTATTTAGCTTCATTTGTAGTATGTGACAAAAAAGACACCAAATTCAAAGCAAACAATTATAATGTGTTTAGTAAATAGATTAACGTAAACTTTGCAAAACATCCAATCACCTCGCGTTTTGGAGGAAATAGTAGCATCTGTGCAATATTAAATTATGAAATCATAAGCCCATATAGGAACTGTGACCACATGCACAAATTCGCTCTGATCCGTATATCTGTTAAAGTTTGGGGGTAAAACTTTTGGAACGTACTACAGTTTTGACTTCTCGTTTGGATTATACATTTTTTTTGTAACAGATAAAGAAAGGCAACAAGAGAACATGACTTCCATGGTACTACTGCACATGCAACCCTCCCACGGACACTGGTCCCCCTCATATACCTTGAAGAACTCCTGCAGGATACGTCTGCTCTCCTGTCCAGCTGCTACCTGGATCTGGCAAACTCTGGGCTGGCCCCTGGCGCCCTGCCAACACAGCTCATGGCCGCAGGTCACGTGAAGCTTGTGTCTGAGCAAACGTGACATGTCCGACCTAGTCGCGCACCAAAGAGCCCCACGTCTGCTAGCAGATGTTGACGTCTGGCATCACTGGGCATTGCGTTTGTTGCCTCTGAAGGTCACCAGCTTGTCGGTGAGCGATCCATGAGGTTTGCCAGGGTTCGAGTTAACAGCAACCACCACAAAAATATCCCATAAATTGAAAAGTCTGTGACAAAACTGTCATTACACCAGCTACTGAAACAAGCTTGTTATCGATTTTCACTATAAATAGTTCTTTGCTAGCTACTGCTGAGGGTAGCGGGGCGCTTATGAGAATGTCCAGCGTGCTGTAATGTCATTCCTTAGTTCACACCATAAATAGTAATATGATATCTCTGAACGTCTCCAAAGTCAAAGTGACACTATGGCACGCACCAATTTAACATCGGATCATCTGTTGTCTTTCACATTTACTAAGTGATGATGATATTAAATTAGGTCATCCGTTGTTCTTCTCTCTCTCTCTCTCTCTCTCTCTCTCTCTCTCTCTCTCTCTCTCTCTCTCTCTCTCTCTCTCTCTCTTTCTCTTTCTCTCCCCCCCCCCTCCACCTGACTGTCTCCTTCTGATGTCTGCGATAAGTTGTCTTCTGGGTTCCGCTTCTTTGAAATCCTCTTGGTTGCTCTTTTCGGCTGTCCAAGGTATTTTAAGCATTGTTCGGTGAAACCATATTTCTAAGGGCTCAAGAAATTGTTTGGCCTGCCTACCGATTGTCCAGGAATCACAGTCATATGTCAAAACTGGGTGTATGTAGCGAGCAAAGTAACCTTCAACGACAGAGCTATATTGCATAAGATGTTCTTCAGTTTATAAAATGCAGTTTTTGCCTGTCCCATTCTATTTCTTATCTCAGTAAACTGATTATATGGAGAAATAAATCATGGGTATTATATTGGTTGTCAGAAAAGAAAAGAAAAGAAGCAGCGATCCGAGTGAATACTAGAAATATAGTCAGCGAAACCACATCAGAATTTAAACCCACCCGCTCTAAATACCGAAAGCGACGCGCTCAAAGCATGCCTCTTCGTAGACACGTTGATGATACTGAACGACATCTGCACGCACATCACCTCAAACACGCACAATCCTATCTCCCAAAACATGCGTCTTCAACCAATGATTTCAAAGATAGCATAAATATAACCGATTCTTTTTCGTGGCCTGTCCAAATAAAATATAAAATTAAAGTCGCTGTTTCAATTCACTAAATTCTGTTTTGGCCGTCATGAGGAACGCAAGCAGATCTGACCAGAACAGACTAGGCGACTGCAGGATCTGTCAGGAGCAGCGCACCGGCCTGCAACAAGTGGGAATATCCGCAGACACAATAAAACTCGTCCATCCCAGAGCTGCAGACAGAGAAATGTGTTGATGGCTGCTAAATATTTGGCTGTTTATCATCTGCAGAAACAGCCAGGCGGGAGAGAGAATAGCGTCATGTATGAACCCCGACTCACGATATATTCCACATGTTATACTTAATGACCATAATTTACATTTATACATCAGTAGTAAATGCTGGCATCTTAAACTATTTGAACATCAATAAAGAGTAATAAGAAACTTCTTGTCTCGGAAACTGAAACTATGTGACCATATCAAGTTACACGGCGGATTGGAAAGTAATATTAGCAGAAGGCA